GGTGTTTGACTGGGGGGTTTGAAATTTGGTAGTCTTTTTTGGTCGAGCAGTCTTCCCAACTGGGTGGTCGGAGGAGCTAGGCTTGTTCTCGATCATTCGGACTGAGTCAAAGGTCAAATAGGAGTTGCAAAATTTGGTATTTGAGGATTGGGCGGTCGGTGGCTCAAGGCAAGTAGGCATCAGCAGTGTTGGGTTTTGGATAGAGAGTCTATCAGTGGTTCAGGTCAAGTAGGGATTAGACGGTGTTGGGTTTTGAAGAAGGAGTCGGTCGGTGGTTCAAGGCGAGTAGGGATCAGACAATGTTAAGCTTTGGAGAGGGAGTCAGTCGGTGGTTCAAGGCGAGTAGGGATCAGACGGTGTTAGGTTTTGGAGAAGGAGTCAATTAGTGGTTCAGGGCGAGTAGGGATCAGACGGTGTTGGGTTTTGGAGAGGGAGTCGGTCGGTGGTTTAGGGTGAGTAAGGCTTTAGAAAGGAGTAGGCTCTGAATTGGGAAAGGTCGGTCACCTAGGGCGAGTGGGTAGATTGCTCAATGTCTACGTCAAGATCAAGTGGTTCGAGTTGGTCTGATGCAGAAGTTGGGGATGAGTATGAGAATGCCTCGACCATTGTGATGATGCTAGAAGGTAGGGGCGTTTCAATTGGTATACCGACCGAGGTGAACGTGGCTGCCACTAGACTGAGTGGCGCCACCCAGAGTGATGATGAGCCAAGAGGTAGGGAAGGAGTGGGGTACACTCTGATGGAGTTGGTGATTCTGTGAGTTCACTCTCCACCAGTAATGACTCTAAGGATAAGCCGAGTCGACCTTGCAGCGGGATACTAAACTAGGATTACCCACCCTTATTGAAGGACAATGATGTGTGGTGGATCTGAATGATGTATCATATTCCAAAGTCTGTCAAAATTAAAGCGTCATGGTTATACGAGTGGGTCGATTGGGAGGCGAAAGGCTGGGTAAGTGTCTACGAGAAATGGTTCCACGGGCTGAGGCTTCCCATCCCTCGCCTTGTATGGGAGGTCTTGAACCATTTCATGATCACCCTGTCCCAGATTATGCCGAATGGATTGAGGTTACTGATGGCTCTAGAGGACCTTTGTGTGCAGAACCAGCTGATGTTTGGGCTGCACGAGTTGCTGTATTCGTATTTCTTGAAGGAAAACGATAAGGACAAAGGTCGATACCTGATCAACCTTAGGCATAACCAGGCTCACCTCGTGACCGACCTCCTTTCGAGTGACAAGATCTTGAAGGATCGGTACTTTTTTATAAGGGGTGATTCTATCTTTGTAGAGAGAGGCTAAGGCAAGATTCCGTATACCTTGCGAGCGACTGGCGAGAAACTTTGTCTTTACTCTGGATTTTGATTACTAAAATCTTATTGTGTTTTTTCTTTATAGATCTTGAATTCAACCGAGTCGAGAAGAGTGGTGATGGTTTGGACGTGCAAACCCAGAAGATTCTAGGCATTCCAAAAGTGTAGAGAGATTGGCGGGTGGTATTGGAGGAGGCTAACCTCAGGACGAGTCATCTTTAGGCCGGAGTAGGTGCTATCCAGCGAGGTATCCCCTTCCCTTTGCTGAAAAAAACCTAGAGTGTGATGCTCATCTGCTACTACAATCATATTTTCTTCGGTAAGTCGAGGTTAAACCCACTAACTATTGAAGAGTTTGCGATTTCAGAAAAGCTAATGAAGAAGCTAACTGTCCTAAGTGCAAGCGAGTCTATCACAAGACATTACAAGAAACGAAAGAGTGAATCCTCGACCAGAGAGGAGAGGAGACCGAAAGATGTGGTGGTGACTCCACCAAGTCGTCAACCCACAATTGAAGCCGGGTGGTCTTGGATGAGGAGACTGAGACGATCGCTTTTAGCATCCTAATTTCTGTGTCAACCTACTTGGATGCGGCTTCCATGAGCCAGTTGGCCGACTCATTCTTGTTCCCAGTAAATGAGGGCCGTTTGAACCCGATGGGTGGGGCCATAACCGTTGATTGAGGGGTTTCCCATGCTTTTCAGGTATAAGTCAAATTTTTACCTTATTGTGTTTATTGTGGTCATATATTGATCAAGTTGTTTTGTTATATAGGCATTCACCAGCAGCCTGCACCTGAGGAAGTCCATTGTGTCGCAAGAGAAGAGGATACAGGTTGTATCCAACTCAAATGCCATTCTACGCCAGAGAAAGGCAGTGACCCAGAAAACTCAAATGCCATTCTACGCCAGAGAGAGGCAGTAACCCAGAAAGTCTAACGGGAGAGCCAACAGCATATGAGAGAGGTTGAGGCCAAGTTGGATCGACTGAAGAGAGAGTTGGCTGAGAAAAATGCGAAGGTCGAGTCCCTGAGGGAGCAGTGCCTTAGTATCACTGACGACGCCATCATCAGGGCACCGGGAGAGTTGATGCTAGAGTACAAGGCCAAGAACACCTCCCATTGGAACCCAGAAGAGGACATCCAACTTATGCGGAAGATGGAGGAGGAGGAGGCTATTGGGCGTGTGGAGGAGCGGGTCGATGAGCAGGTATTCGACTTTGCTAGCTAGCTGGGGTGCTCGACTACAGAGGATGTGGGCAAGTAGGCTGTAGGGGTGAGTGTTGGAGCTAGTGACAGGGTGGTTGAGTCGAAAATGGGAGAGATGACTCGCACCGATGATTGTTAGGTTTATAGTTACTCATGTATTTTTTAGGCCTACGATGCCCTTCCCTAGCGTGTGTGCCTCACTTTTTGTACTTGATACTTGGCCGCTTGAGGCTATTTTATATTATACTTATCCATTAGTGGCTTTGGTGTTTTTTCTTGTGTTTCTATTTTACTGCTTTCCTTGTGGATGGATGAGTTGATTGTGAAAGAACAGCATGCATGCATGAAGAGTGGTGGAAGTGGAGAAGAAAGCATAAAAATGGATTTAAGAAAACGGTTTTAAAAAAAAAGCTTGAGAAGAAATTATACCTACTCCTTTGCTTTGGATTGATGAAGATTAGCTTCAAAAGGATGAAACCTCCACACTTTAACACCACCTTGAGAGATTAGAGAGTGGCCGTGGGTTTGAGAGAGAGTTTTGGTTTGTGTTTTGTGAACTAGTCAAGAATGAACAAAAATGCAACCTTTTGCACTTATATATACTTGGGCATTATTGCAATTATTTATTTTTCACTTCCAAGCCCAATAAAATCTTATTTTATAAAGGGACCCCATGAATTTAATATGCTACCCTTTGAATAATCAATATTATTCAAGGGCCCATGTAAACTAAACTAGTTTACATTAACAACCCATAAATTTACCCTTTTTACCCTTTAACTATTAAAAGGTTATTTTTGTTCATCTCATTAATCTTAACACTTTAAGATATAATAATTAAATATAATTAATTATTGCTTGACCATTTTAACCCTTAAAATGTCACAAATTGTTTTCTATGTAACTATTACTATAGAAATCCCGTTATTACCCTCGGAAGGTGCTAGCCCTCTTCGGATAATCATTTCTCTCTCTCATCCTTCTCTAACTTCTCAAGGCTATTGGTGTGACCATGTAGGTCCACCGTGGATTAGCCGTGAGCCGGTTCTGGATGAATCCGGAAACCTGTCCGGAGGCCCAACGACTATGGTAAACATCTAGCAATGTGCCATAGTCCCTAAACCACGATGAAGAAATACTTCATCGAACCCATTTCAGATCATACGTACCATGCAGGTAAAGTCCCTCCATTGAGATATCCTAATCGAGTATGGATTCATGGAACGTCAAAATCCTAAACTCGATCTTCTACCGAATTGTCGATCAATATGTCCGGAACTTGTCATCACAAACTTACTTTTGTATGACTAATAATAGACTCTGGCCAGAGATTCAGTTTTCTGACATTTATCGATGTTCGTCTAGGAACTCGAATCCGGATGGAGTCAGCGGTACTCCCGATCCTATATTTCCGAGTCAATGGATCCCCTCTTGACCATCGTTCGTTTCCGCATATGAACAACGCATGACCAAATAGGCTTTATTGTACGAAACATGATTAGTCTCGTACTTATACACCGTATGAACCATACGCATCCATATCGGATCCGACTACAATGTCTCAGGTCAAAGGACTACATCGTGCACTGATATAACCAAACGATAAATCATTGACTACATGCTTTTCCAAGTGATTTGTCGTTATTCGGTCACGTTCGAAAAACAGTTCACCAACCGTTAATCCATACCAATGCCCTAGTGACATGACTATCATCGTCATCCGTACTTATATCAACTCATGATATCTTTCGGAAGCATCCGGTATGCCTACTGTACAATATAGTTGCCCAAATTTATATTGCTTCCGTAGGGAACCCTTTTCGATAATTCATTTCCCTATTAAATGAATCATCTGGACAATTCATATACATACTTTATTTTAAATGCATGACTGAATAAAGGAAGCAATTTACATATATGAATTGAAGAACTCTTTCTTCTATTATTTATGATATATTTAGATACAAGACAAAATGCTCTAAAACCGACAACACGAATGGTTTCTAGGGCATACACTAATATACACTAACAGATTGCTTGATTGTTTGTAGATGTATTAGGGGTTAAACCGACTGCTTGTGCTATGATTTTGACGAGGCCAAATGGCTGAGTCGTCTGGACTGTCTAATGGGTTGGGTCGCTGAATTGTCGATTAGAGGTGTAAGTCTTTCAATCAATCTGGGCCGACTGAAACTGTAAATCTATAAATCGGTCTAGGATGATTGAAGCTGTAACTTATGAATCGGTCCTGGTCGATTGAAGGTCTAAACTTAGGAATCAGTCTGGGCCGATTGAAGGTCTAAACTTATGAATCAGTCTAGGCCGATTGAAGGTATTAACTTATGAATCGGTCTAGGCTGATTGAAGGTGTAAACTTATGAATCAGTTTGGGGCGATTAAAGGTGTATATTTATGAATCAGTCTGGGCCGATTGAAGGTGTATATTTATGAATCAGTATGAGTCAATTGAAGGTGTATACTCAAGAGGGCGGATGGATGGATTGGACTTCATGGTGATGGTTGGCTCGGGCGTAGCGCTTGGCTGAGGAATAGCTGACCTCACTGATCTTCGACCCTCTAGAAATAATTGAGCAGAGCCCCTTTGGTGTTGGTTCTCGTGGAGGTGGAGATGTTTCTTTTGAGCTTCTCTGGCTGACTGTATTTTTGTCTTTATTTGTCAATAGATCTCGGAGATGTCCCCTCTTGAGTAGTGCTGCAACTTCCAACCGTAGGGTGATGAAATCTACGGTGTTATGACCATGGTCACCGTGGAATTCGCACCACTTAGTCGTGTCCCTCCTTGCTTCGGGATTGAGCTTGTTCGGCCACTTGACGGTATGTCCCATCCCTTTCATGATTGCCATGACTTGGGTTGGTTCGACGTTAAAGTTGTAATCTGGAACTTTGTATTGGCTCGATCTGGATGGTCTATTGTCGGTTCTAATTAGCGGGTGGTCATATGGTTTTTTAACTTTGTTCAGATTGCATGGAGAGGGTTGGTAACGGGGCTCAATCGATTTGGACTCTAACCTTCTATCATTCCACCTTTGGTGACGGTCGTCATACCTGGCATGCCTCATCTGGTTCATTTCATCTTCCTCCCACCTTATTTGAATCACAGATCTAGCTAAGGCATCTTCCATCGTGATGTAGCCGAGCTTTGTCAGGTCTTTGTATAGTTCTCCATCTAGGAAGAGACCCTTTCTAAAGGTGTCTATTGCCGTCTCTGGGTTACAGGAGGGGATGAAGATTTTTTCATTATTGAATCTGCTGATGTATTCTCTCAGCAGCTCCCCCCTCTTCTGATAGACTCTGTACAGGTCGGCTGATAGTTTCTCGAGTTTCTTGCTATTGGCAAATTGTTCAACGAAGGTGTCGGTGAGTTGGGCAAATAAGTTAATTGAATAGTTTGGGAGGTTAGTGTACCACTGAAGAGTTGGGCCATAGAGGCTTGAACCGAAACTCTTACACATGTAGGCTTTCCTTAGTGCTCGGGGTATCGAGACTGCAAACATCTGCTGCTTGTAAGAGGTTATGTGGTTATCTGGGTCGGTTGTGTCGTCGTAGGGCTTCATGCTGGGGATGGTGAATTTGTGTGGTATCTCGGCTAGTGCGATTACTTCTACAAAGGGTGAATCGGCATAGCAGTGAGGTTGGCTCTTTTTTGTTGGGATTGGCATTCCGGGTATGCTCCTCATCACTGCCTAAATGTCGGCCAGTCTTTTGGCTAATATTTGCTCCATGGGAGAGGCGAATACCACTAGGTCGTCCTGGTTGACTCGGTTGGCTACGTGATTTGCACTCGATGCGTTTTGGTAGTGTAATATCCCACTTGAGGTACGTATTTAAGAGTTGTTGTATTAGTTAAAAGTTTATTGTTTCAACTTAAATTGAGTTTGTATGTTGAATTGTTGCCTTGAAATTGGTTGAGTTTTGGTGAAGTTGGAATCCAATCTTCGCCGGGGCGAAGAAGAAGCTTCGCCGCGGCGAGGAGGAGAAGTGGCATTACGGGTAGGTTCTGCCCTATTTCGCCGAGGCGACGAAAAATGCTTCGCCGCGGCGAAGAGCCTAAAACAAAGATTCTTGAGTTTTCTAGAGAATTCTTCTTTTGGGACACAATGACCATTCTACCCCTATTTAGTAGGAAAAGTGGGGAGTAAATTGAAAGGAAATTTAGTAGAGATTGTGTTTGTATGGGGGTGTAGCTGTAAAGAATCAAAGGATATAGATGGAATTTTCAAGAAAGGACAAGGGCAAAATGGGAAATGAAGCTTTTAATATGAACTAAAAAGAGTAAAGTGTAGAGAAAGCCCTTATTCATTTCATTCCACCGCCTCTTCCAATTGCCCATATTCTCTCAATTTCTCCACCCAATTTTCCAAGAGTTCTAAGGGATTTAAGAAGGGTTTTGAGTAGAGATTTCATCTAAAGCTTCCTAAGGTAAGAATTCATGCTTTAGATGTGAGTTTTCTTGTATTTATAGTGAGGTCTTATTGTGTTGTTGCTGTCCTTGTGGTTGTTTTGAGTTGTAGAGAAGAGACAAGTCCACAAAGGGAAGGAAAAGTGCTAAGGAACCCATCTTTGCACAAGGTAAGTAAATCCAACCAAGTTGAGTTATGACTAAGCTTTGAGTAGAGACTTATTTTAATTATGTATGTACATGGTATACCTACTGAAAATTGAGATGAGATGTGTGCTTAGTCTTAGTAGTTGGGATTGATTAAATATGAGAAGTGTTGTTGATATGTGTATTGAGAATGGAGTTTGAGATGAAGTTTGAGAGATGTTGTGTAATCCTTTTTGGGAGTGCTTTTCTTGACAGGGATTATGAGTAATTGAGGGAGTTTTTCCCCAATTTGGATGGCTAGAAAAATGAAGTTTAGTAGTAATTTTCGTAGGGTGTTTATATGCACATGAGATGTTTGAGGAAATGCCTAAGTGAAATCTGCCCTGTCACTGCCGTAACTTTCTGAGTAATTTTTGAGTATCTTACGGTTCGAACTGGGCTGAGACCAAAACAGAGAAGTTGTAGCCCTGTTTCTAAGCTTTGAAACGAGACCAGAACCGTAGTAATCCGAGGTGTATAGCATAAGTTATGGCCGTTTTAGTGTGACTGGTGCAGAATGACTGTTTTGAGGAAATCTTGTAGTTGGCATTTCATTAGTGCATTAGGGAGCATGAGATAGCTCTACACCTTTGTTTATACACTTGAGAAGTAGTTTGAGATTTAGTATAGACTGTGAGTATAAGTTCTTTAAGAGTTAAGAGAATAGAGTAGGTTGTGCGATGGGGAACCCGTGAGTAATGGGTAGAGTATTCCCGCATGTACGCCGCATTGAGAGTGCGGCATGAGTATCAGATAGAGAAGTGGTGTAGCCCGTGAGAGTGCATGCGGATGAGGGCTATACCCGAGTACCCGAGAGAGAGAGATTATACACTCACATGGCCAAGGGTTCCGAATCCATGCATAACCGAGTCCGATCGGCTAGAGTGAATAGAGGTCACGTAGAGCGGGAGTGAGTCCCGGCCGTGCCCCCGGTGAGATGGGGTCGTGATTTATGAAAGAGTTATGAGAAAAGAGTTTCTAAGAGAAAGAGAAAGAGGAAAAGAAAGACGCACCCAAAGAGTTATTGAACGAGGAGTTGTAAGGAAAGAATTAGAGAAAGAGAGTTACGGGGCTAGTATGAGTAGAGGATTTACTTACTGGGCATTGTTTAGTGCTCACCCCGTTGTTTTCCCATGTTTTGCAGGACCTAGGTAAGGACACTGTCAGATGGATGTCGGCGTGCGAGGAGGAGTGGCTACACTGTCCCTGATGTTTTGATGACTTTTTGTATACGTTATATATATTTTGTGTAAAAATGCATATGTTTGTAAAGAGTATGTATATATGTTTAATAAAAGAAAAACTTGGGCCCAATTTCTTTATGTTATTTTATATGTATTTCATTATAATCTATTGAGTAGTAGTGGCTATTACAGGTAGGTCAATCCACGTGGTGTAGCTTGACGGATCACCTAGTTGTGTGCCGCTTGGTAGCTTGGATCCCTATTCATTCCCTCTGGTTGGGTGACTCCCATCATGACCGATCAGGTGTTTCGCCCCACATGGATTGTAAGGGTGGTTATTTAGGATTCGCTCGGTTCGATAGGATGGATGGACTCGAGCGGGATGGTTTGAAGGAGTGGGGGACCACTCGACCCACAAGGATGAGCTGAGCCAAGTGGGGTTTGGGTAGGGATGATTGACTGAAGGTGAGACGGGATGGCGAGGATGGATGGTTCTTGTTGTAGTGGGCTTTCTGTCACTTGGACGCCTTGATCTCGCGCCTGAAGTGGACCGACTGAGAGTGGCTCTATCGGCAGCCCCCGTTCACTATTAGTCAGGGCTGAATCGTTAGTTAATGACGAACATAGTTGGCATGACCTCGTATCCGAGATCGTGGTCTGTGTTCTAGAGTTTGGAGAGGTTGCATAGACGGAACTGCGGCATGAAACCGATTGGGTTGTACCTGACAAGGCAGGAGCTCAAGATCATAAAACTGACTTAGCTTCTCTTTTAGAGATTAGTTCTCGCCCTGATAGAGGCGTTTTCAGTCTGGATGGTAGTGTTCTCAACTTCCAGTGTGGCCACCTTGTTTGAGTGTTGTTGCATGAGGGTGGTTAAAGCCTCTAGTTTGGCCTCGAGGCCAGGATTAGTGTTATCAGAATTGTCAGCCATAGAGAGTTTGTTTACGTAGCAGGGTTTGTGAGACGAATGATTGCCAGAGGTCCCATGGTGGACTCCAAACTGTAGATGCAAAAATCTACCTTTACGAAAAAGGGGACTAATCCCGTGAGGTTGAGGCCATTAGTGATCTACTGCACCTGCACACGTAAGAAAACAAGCATGAAGCGGACAAAAAACACCGGGGTGGTGTTTTCTGTAGGCACTCCGACGCTCAAGTCAGCAAGGCTGAGTAAGGCTAGTTTAGTGAGGGTTAGGGAGAAGAAGGTTTACCGGAAGTCTAATCGGGGACTGTGACTACAACTGTAATGCGAAGTTCTCAAGGGTGGGAACTCCAAGGTTTGAAGGTGTAATATCTTTGCCCTCTGTGAGAGGGCTAGCCTCTATTTAAATAGGGACTGCGTGGTCTTCGAATCCTGGTAGGATTGGGAGTCCTCGCAGTGGTGGTCTTCTCAAAAAGTGGAGCCTTTGGCTCCCTTATCTCAGTAGGAAAAGGAGTCCCAGCATGCCTAGGATATGAACCTTAGACGGATTGGGACAGTCATTGACTTCCCTAGTAGAGTTTAAAAACTGATCTTATAAATGAAGAAGTTTTAACTAGAAAGGGATATGGACCTAATGTTGTTTGCTACAATACTTTAATCAGATGGTATTGCAAGAATAAAGAAGTCAACGAAGTTCTTAGTCTTTATCAAGAGAAAATTTTAGAAGGAATTAGGCCTAATGTGATTATAAATAACAATTTGTTAACTTGCCTTTTTCTTAAAGCTAATGTAAAAGATGCATAGAAATTTGTTGGTGAGATGCAACTTAATGGTTTTACCTTATTCTTGGACACACAACATTTTCATTGATGGACTTTGCAAGAATGATGTGTTTCGAAAGAAGTGGAAATGTTTCATACTTTAGTAAATATTAAGTTTGCAGTTGACCTTGAAAGCTTGAATTCCCTCTTTGATGGATTATGTAAAATAGGGATATCCGAAATTGCTCGATAGCTATTTTAGAAATTTCTCTCATTGAAAGCCTAGTGCCTCAGAAATTTTGTAACTGTTTTTAGAATTTAGTTTTGATGGATTCCATCGTTTCCAAATTTTACAAGCAATTGGGGTCATAATATAGATTACAATGTTATAAGAAGCACATTTATAACAGAAGCTCTTTACTAAGATATGTGTATGTGCGACTGTCTAATCACTTGATATGTGTTGATCATATATGTTAATGTACAGTGCACATTGTGGATAAGGTAATGTAGAACATTACAATAGTATCATTAAGTGTTAAGGACATCAAGTCAACTCCTTTGTGCTTCACTATAGTTATGGAAATTCAATTAAGACTTTTCAAATAAAAAAATTTCCCTCGTTATTAATAAACTATTAGTGCGCTAGAAAATATATTTATAAAATTAATAAATATTTATTAAATTGCCTTGATTCTATTATTTTAACCCTTATAATTTAACAGTAGAGATTTTTACTATTTTATGAATTTGATTATTTTTATTATATTAAACCTCAAGACTGTCAATATAATTCTATTGTATAATACAAAACTAGTAATTATATTAAACTATACGTACTATTATTTCAGTAATATAGATATTTCAGCAATATAATTAACGTAATAATCTTATTAACATGATAATAAAACATTATTCATGTAACTTCTAAAAAGTAAAAAACAATATCCCTTGAATTTTTATTATATCACATTCGATTATGTGAAATATTGATTTTGGCATATTTAAAAGTTTGAAGAACAAATAGAAAAAAAAAATTTATATATCATTATAAATTAAATGCAAAGTTCAATAACATGATTTATTTAAATCTTATAATTTTATTAAAAAAGGTAAAATTGAATACTTATATAAATTGGTTTGTTTGATCAACTAGATAATTTTGGATTTAGTAGAAAACCACTTCAAATCGAAAAACACCTAAATGT